CTCAGCAGCCTCAGGGAGCAGAGGGGCCAGGCAGGATTCTTGTTCACTCATCTTGATTTGCTGACCCCTCTCATGTGGTCCCTGGCCCTGAATCTCTGACACAGAACAGCTTGGATTAGAGGAAAAGCTCCACGCTCCAAGATGAACACCACCATGATTCTTTCTGCCCTCTCTCTTGGCGTGTAGCGAGTCACTGTGCCAGCTCCATGGAGACCTCTGAGGTGGACAGTGACCGGACAAAGCTCCTGCTCAAGAAACATGGCTGCGACATTGTCACAAGGGGTGGATGGAGGCCTCTGGCTGGAGGTCAGCCTCTCAAAAACATCAAAGGCATCTGGCACTGTTATGGGTCACTCTGCATAGGAACCAGATCAGCCAGATAGAAATTGAAATAAAACCTTTTATTTACTGAGCTCAGGTCCATCACTCATTTCTCACTCAGGAGAAGACTGATCCACACCCGAACATAGGTAGCAGGGGAGTATTTATAACAGAAATCACATCCAGTTTGGTTAGCGAATTTGTTACCTAGTACAGAACAACAGAAAACTACATTCATTTGACACAGCTGCAAACTGTTTGTAACTAAAGATTCTTTCATAGCTTAGTGTTAAGTGCATATTTTTATAAGATACATCTTAAGCTGACCATGTTACAGGAGATGGTTAGGGAGGGAGAATGTGTCAGCTTGCTGCCTTGACAAAAAACAGTTATTATTAAACAGCCTTGAGCCGAGAGGAGAATACATTTCTCAGAGTAGGTAACAGGAAGCACAAGGGTTTTTAAAAAATAATTTCCTGCAGTTAAGGCACAAAATTCTGTTAACCCTTTACATTCTCCACTGGTTTTGTCTGAGAATCAAATCTTTGATTTATTTAAACCTCATAACTTGAGTTGTCCAGAGATGTGAGAGGCTCATAGATCTCAACACCATTAATTTTATCGTCTGAATTCTTTGTTGTATATACATAGTCAAACAGTTTATTATACAAGGCCCAATGAGCAGGACCAGAAGAAATATGATCACGGGTCAAATCAGAGCAGTTAATCAGATTATTTATCCAGGGAGATATTGAAAATAACCCCCAGCCATTACCTTGACAGATATCTTCAGCTAACTGTTTTAGTATGTTTACTTGTATCTGATGGCTGTTATTATTGCAGGCAGCCGAGTAGGATAAAAATATTATAGGCAGTCAGA